CTGGGTGAAGAGTTGCGGCATTTTTTCTTTGCTGGGAGGCCTGTATTAAACTGAAAACTGGTGAGAAGGGTTTTAGTTCATTTGGTTCATGGCACCACAGGGCTTAGCTGAACTATTTCTTTAGATAGACACTGCCGCTATAGCAATCTTGCTTTATTAATACCATATCCTTTACTATACATCTTGCAAAGCATATGAAGGCTCTTAAGCTGATATGCCTTTTTTCTGCTTTCATTCATTGCCAAAAGCATTAATGCATTCACTTTTATATCTATGAAGCATAAGTAAGAAATAGTTGGCCTCCCCAACATTCAGCTTGTCACACTTTATCTTCAAATGGCTGAATGTCGGATGATTTCTGACGTCAAAGTGGTAGCTGCTGAGAAGTACTTTTTTTAATCAACAGGGGTCATGATRGGAATGCATTTTGTTCAAAATGTTCATTTTCCCTGTGCTTAGGTTAGTGGGATATCTTCATTTAGATGCTGAACCTGTTTGAGTTCAAACTTACTTTATTCTGCCTGTRTGCAAGGCTACCTTTTAGATTATGTTTTAGAAGGATTCAGAAATAACTAATGCACCCAGCCCAACCTCTGTGGTAAGCCCAGCGACAAACTCAACTGCTGTGTGGGCAGGATCATTGCTAATATCTGTCCCCACATCTTGTCTGTTGGTGACTTGTGGTACAGCAGCAGAGCCAGGATTGGACAGATGGGTSAACTCCGTGGCTGACCCATCCTACGTGCTGATTTCCAGAAAAACATCTGGAATTTGGCCACAGTCAGAGACCCTGTGTATACAGACGCAACAGACATCAGCAGTGAACTACAGTGGGTGAGCGAGCTGTCAAAGTGGGTGATCTTAAGGATAATAGGGATCCCCTAATAGGGATCTATTACGGATCTAGACAGCTATAGCGTCTAGTGAAGTGATTTGTCCATAGAGTGCTGTAAATGTTGCTTTGGTGCTCTGCTCAATGCACTAGTTCCTCTCTGAGCTCTATTGATGTCCCTTTGTCAAAGCTTCTAAYTAATTTGGATGTACAGGCAGATGTATTTAAGGTAGGAAAAAATTTTGAGACCAAAATAAACATGGTGTTTAACAACAAGACTTTTAAGAAATTCATTTTTTATTAAGCACAAGTTATTTAGCCAAAAATGCTAAAAATTTCAGACATCCAAAAGCTTGATATTATCAAGATGCTCTGGCAAACYGGAAGATTTTTGTTTGTAATAGCAAGGGATGTGTGCAATGAGGTTTCAGCTAGCAGTGTAAAAGCAAAAGGAACTTATTTGTATAGCAGATGTCACCCACCCATACCTCGGAGAAATGCAAGGATCTTTCAGATGATGGCTATGTAATTGCTTCCACACACCCCAGAGGGAAGTTTCTTTTCTCAGTTCTATGCTCTATAAGCTTTCCCACCCTTTCCCCCAGGTACATGAGATCATGAGTTGAGACCAAAAAGGGAGATGTCACCGTAATCTAATGCGGAAGAGTCACTGAGGGGAAAACTCAGTTATTGCTCTACCCTTAAGAAGGCAGAGCTTTTGGGGAAGCCCCTTCACCCTCTCTCTCCCTCCCTTTCCAACCGGTATTACGCTAGGCCCCTAAGGCAGGACTGGGCTGCACAGAGAGTCTCCTTTCTGCTGTATTTTTCTCCCATTATCTTTCTTCTGTGGTCCCTATTCCACTTGCCCTGCTTGTTTTACCTTCCTGGCCTGGCCTCTGCAAGTCTGCCAGATGTACTCCCTGCAGAACACGGATGGTGGCTCTGCCTCTTGAAAAATTTTGTTCTTTGTGCCTGGGAATAAACAGAAGAACAGAACTTATCTCGAGATATTTTCCTGTAATTAATTTATTTATTTGTGCTGAGAGACAGGAAGGAAATGCTAAATTTGAATTACAAGCTTATAATTAGTCTTTCAAAAAGTACACCGGATACAAGTTTGTTTACTTGTACTAAACAAAAACTGGAGATTGTAGAGAAATGTCAAGAAACCTCAATRGGCAGGTGCTTCTGTTAAGATCTTTTGCTGTTCCTCGCTGTAAGGCTTAATTTCCAGTCATTTACAACTCTACCAAATTTTCTTCCCACTCATAGTATCCCACCTGAGTTCTTGTTTTCATGTTTGACTAAAATAATTGCCTTGTTCCCAGGAAGCTGGGGCCAGTCTGTGGTGCTCTTCAAACAGCCCTTTGTCTGAGAGCTCAAATGTCCCCGTCCTCTGGTCAAGGACTCTGAGACTTGACATTTATCAGAAGGATCCTTTTGTGTCAAGGAAATTTCTTGTAGAAGAATCTGTCTAAATCCCAGATMCTGAGCAGCTGCTTGAGTCTGTGGTTAACACAGCCCAGCTACATGTGCCTCGTCCAAGGCCTGAGGAGGGGCCTCGTCATGGTTGTGGGGCGAGCTTCCTCGGGGCTGGGTACAAGGCAGTCTTGTAGAGGGCAGGCAAGCTTCCTGAGACAACCAGCAGGCCGGACTGCAGCCAAGAGAAAATCTTGAGGGAAAGAGAGGAGCGGAGGCTTAGGGATGAATGATGAGGGGGCTGGGATGTTCCGGAAAGGGAAGAATGAGGACTGATTTGGTCACTGGTGCTGATAGTGTTTAAAGACAAAAAAAATACTGCTTAAAACAAGGCCGCAAGGCATGAGAATGGTTCAAGAGGTGGATGGGAAGCAAATGGAGGTGCTGATGATGTGATGATGGGTTATATGGGATGAATTAGGTTCCCTGGACTAGGCTGATGAGAGCTGCCCACAGCATAACAGCAGCGAGGCCTGAGGTGAAGCCTGGTGAGARGTAACAGGTTGTGTGCACCACTTCATTTCCCCTGGGGCACGGGTTCTGAAAGCCAAAGTGGAGACCTGCTAGCAAATACAGCAGTGAAGAAAAGAGGAGGAAGAAAAAAAGAGATGAAAAAGAGGAAATGAATACTYGGATAGGATATAATAAATACAGCTAAAGAGGAACCAGTGGCACCCACAGCTCAATGGAGAGGCAAATATCAGTGCCTGCTTGTTACCAGATCCCATCCCTCCYGTGGCCTGGACAAAAGGGTCTCGCACAGCACTTAGGAGCGATGGATGCAGGGTGTGTGGCAGGGAAGAGAGAGCAGGGAGAGGTGAGTCTGTGCAAGCAGACGTTGCTCCTTCTGGTATGTACTGCTCCTTGAAGAGGTGATTTTGCTGTCTTCTTAGCGTTGCCTTCAGCCTTGCTGTATGTGACACGTTAGTTCTGTTTGTCACTCTTATCTATTGCTTGTGGGATCTGGATCCTGGACACGGTAGCTGGGGCTTTGAAACAAAATGCTGATGTCAATATATCTGCTGTCAAGAGTATCCTCAGTAACAATCCTGCAGGAGCAGTTTGACTCGTGAAAGGAACCTTTCTAATATTTTTCTAATATATTATCTGTGTGTTTCCAGTCTTTCATCTTTCATGCTTTCTGTATGGTCTGATCGCATATTCCACTTTTGTGTCGTATGTGTTTGTTTTTATGAAGTCGTCTGGAGTTATTCGCGTTCACAAGTCAAGKGCTCAGATGCTGTTTATCATTTTTATCCTACCCAGAGGCAAGAGCTGTCATATGCATTGAGTGTGGGTAGTGAGAGATAATGTCTAAAATTGTCCTGTATTAAAATAAATGCTTAGCATTTTTGAAAGTGTGATAGATGTTTCTGTTTGTTTATCTGAATATTTTTCATTCCTCTTAAATATTTGAGGAATTTACAATGCGTAAAGGAGAGGGAGTTATGGTAAAATTTCTCATTTTGAAGCATAGCTTGATATGCTACTCCTGGATACCAGTCATCTTTCTCCTCTTTCATATCCTGTTATTACTTYGTTATCAGTGTAATCTTACTCTAAATCAAAGCTTTTGTTTTCGTACAACTCAGTCTTGCCTAAGGAATCCCGACATTCCGTTGTGTTGATTTTTATTTCAAGTCTGGTGATAGCAAACCAATGCATAACATTTCCTTGCACGTTGCACAGCACAGAGCTGCAGTCCATTTCTTTTCCTCGCTATTGACTGCAGCGAGAGCACAGCACACATCTCGGTATTTCCCGTGGACCAAGTCTACAGGAAAACACCAACTTCACGTGTCCCTGTCACTGTCACTTTGCCGGCGATGGGCTGGGCGGCCCCACTGCTGGCATTACACAACCGGCTCGACACGAAACCACGGAGCGGGAGCAGATCTCCCTGCTCGTGCTCCCCAGCACACGCAGCTGAACGCAGCAGAAAAAAGGAGGTCATCTTCCCGCAAGGATTTCGGGGGGTGATCGTTCTCACAGATGTTTTCATTTCAGAGAAGCGCGTCTTGCCTCCTTTGTCTTGGCTGTGACTTGGAGGTTTTAAATGCCCCGGGGATGTTTTGTTTTGGTAAATGTGAACGTGTACCTGAGGAGGAATTTGCAGCCGGGAAGGATGTGAGAATTGCAGATGCGCAGATCAGCAGCATGGAATGATCAAATGGATTTAYGTTTTTAAGGAGTTTTAGACATTAGCAGGGGAGGAAACAATCCAAAAAGGAAGGCTAAAAGCAGGTGCAGAAGGAAAATTACTTTGTTTTTACCAGGATTTATACTGTTGAAAACACAATGGAAGGTGGATAATATCAGCATCAAAACTGTAAAGAATCAGTGGGGTTTTATTTTCTTATCTCTGCACAATAAATGTAAAAACCCTGCCTTTTTGTGGATAAGAACATTGCATGATTTGAATATGGTTTGAAGCTCTGTGGAATATATTTGGGATTGCCGCATCTTTCTAATGYGAGTGGAATATGTTCATGTAAACATCCTGAATAAAGAAGAGCCTACACAAAAGGTCAAGCTACTTTTTTTCCTCTTCAAATGCTTTTTTTTTTTGAATGAGAGAACTACAACAGTTTTACCTATATATTAACTAAAATTTCTCTTTTTCTCTTTTTTTTCTTTTTTGTTTATTTGTTTTCCCTTCCCTCCCACTCTTTTTTTCCTCCACTCTTAGTTTACCAGATGCTGGAATTGGATTTATTCTTGTCATAGATCGCAGACAGGACAAATGGACCTCTGTGAAAGCTTCTATCCTGCGGATAGCGGTGAGTACCAATTTGTATTAAATACTTGAAAGGATCTTTTCATACCAAACCTTTCTTCTATAAATAAAAATATAGAAAACGCTTTTCTCCAACAATATATTAGGTGATATATTGCCCTCAACAGTATCTATTAGATTTTCTTGGGGGGGTCACAGCCACCTGAGATCCAGCATGATGTGTCTACAAAATGCTTCTCTTGCTGAGACCATCACCCCAGGAAGGCCCTGGGAATGTGTGAATGTGTGCACCATGCCCCTCATCCAGGTGGGATCTGCTCTTRCCCTGGCAGCCTCTCAAAGCTTGGGAAACGCTTTTCACTATTGACGTTGGCTTTCCTTTTTAAAAAGATTTGGTGGTTTGGGGTCCTGTCTTGAGAGCAGTTTGTACTGGAAGSAACAGACTTGGTTATCATCTGTGTTGTGAATAGCGTACCCATGGAACTGACTCCTAAACCTGGTAAAACTCTTGTGTTTGAAAACAAAGGTTGTCTTTAACCAAGAAAATATTACGTACCTATTATCAGTTTCAGCAGACACTGCTAAATTCAGTCTCCTCTTTAATTACTGTTTTTAAGAGTAAAAGTAAAATTGTTAAAGAWTTGCTTCCTTCCTGGCCCATAAAAGCAGGAAGAAGAGATTCATATTTTCCCAAGGCGTGCTTTGAGCTATTTTGTTCAAGCTGTGGTGTTTTTTTCTTTTCTCTCACTATCCTGGTTTGAATTAATAGTACTTAYAATCTTTCCAGCAAGTGCTGAACAACAGAGTTGTAAGAAGCTTTTCCTTAATTTTTCATCCCTGTAGATTTCATTTCTGTAAAGTTRAATGAAAATTGTGAATGTCATTTTACTGTAGCCCTATTTTAATCCAAGAACTGTTTCTGTCGTATGTTAAAATCCATTTATTTAGAGGTACTACATTACTGTCTCTRTAGGACTTTTCCTGAATGAACATATAATGATAATAAGATATTCCCAATACACTTCCATGGTGTWTTTTGAAAGTTAACATTTAAAAATATAAAGAAATTATACCAAAAGCTGATTTTTGAAGTTCATTTGGAAATGAAGAAGTGCAGGATTGAAAAGGTTTCACTAGTGGAAACCAAGAGCATTATTATTTGGACTGCTGAAAGACATTTCTATGGAATCTGGGAATCTTTCAAAAYGCAGTGCTGTATTTTCTATTCAACAACATATAATCATTTTGTAGGTGACAGTGCATTTATTTACGTACTTGGTGARCCTTTGGAGGGCAATGACAAATATGTTGAGCACCTGCTTGTGTTGGTGCTTGGAGCCATAGTATTAATGCATTTAGAAACTCTTAACTCTGGTGTGTGTTATTTTGCCTAGAAGCACAATATATAGAACCCTGCTATCTAGTTCCTATGATAACATAGGAAAATGTAGTGATAGCTTACATGGGTAAATTGTACTGATTGTGGGGATGTCTGGAGTCTCTACCTAGACAAATATATCAAGTCTTAAATGGAGAGAGCACTGAAGGTTGCAGTGCKGGTGTTGGGGGTGTGGGATTTTTTTGTTTTGTTTTTCTTGCCTTGTTTTCTTGAGGGCTTTATTTAAAAGAGAAAAAGTGCTTCCTAGCTGAAGTATCTGTTMGAGGTGTCATCTTTCTTGTATTTATGTTTCTTGCCCTGACCTTGCTGGGCYTTGGCTTTCTGATGCTGCCAGGGCAGCACATGACAGTACTGCTGGTGGACTCCAAGCAGGAATCGCAGCAGGCCTGAGTACCTGAAAATGCTTCTCTTGTACCAGCAAAGGAAACAGTGAGAAATCCTTGGCTACTGTAATATTTGCTGGAAGGGAACTCTAGAGGTATCTATTTTTAAAAGTGTCCATCACTAGATAGACAAAGATTTGAAATGGCTCAAGGATAAGTAGATGCTTAAGTTGCTTGCTCTTCTAAACAGTCAGATTTTGTGATTTTTTCTTTTGTTATTGATCAAGTACCTAAGTGTCATTTGAACTGTCTGTAATGAACTTCGTGTCTGAAAGTGAGATATATTTAACAGCTTTGTATTGCTTGACTGTATGGCTATATGTGAGGGTATTACTCTCGTGTTATTTGAGAAGAGTTTTGACTTTTAGGYCATCTGCACTAGTTTCTGCAACAGCTCTCCTGCAGACTTTTTCAGTGGTCTGTAATCACCCTGAGAATTGGGGATTTCAGGACATCACCCTGAAATCAGAGATGCCAGTGCAAGGTGCTCTGGCTGGAGCACTGCCCAGTGCTAGCAACTCGAMTGGAGCATCTGTCCAACAGCAATATTCTGACAACTATAGGAAATATATTTGTGAGCAGCTGTTAACTCATACTGTCTTGTTTTCTTCCTTTTTCAAGACTGTTTGCATATAAACATTATTTGGTAAACATTATTTACCAGATCTAAGTTCTTCAATGCACACTGCAGGAGCAAGGCGCTGTACTAATCAGCATGCCCTRGAGTTTCATACTGCTCTGTTCAGTTTCAGCGTGATTTCATTAAAAGGAGAACTAAAGCAGGTTTAATTGCAATGTGTGTGTTTGCCCACATCTTTGGGCAAAGGCTGAAGTACAAGCTCACCCTTTTAGCAGCACAAAAATCTGCTCTCAGCATTGTGAAGAGTTTCACTCATAGCCATCACAGCCTCATGTTGAAAGTCCAGAGGAAATAAACTTTGTTGTTTTGGTGCTTAGGGAATAGCATATATGTGGGCAACTGATCTTTAGGAAGCAGTTGGCAGAGAGGCCCTTCAGGTCAAGAGGAAGCTTTCTCCATTTGAGAAACTTTGCAGCCTTTTCTAGAAGTGACAAGACTTGGGTTGCATTTAGCTGCCTGTGGGAGTTTGCTTCAGGATTTGCCACCTTTGAGAACGCTTTGAGTGCCACCTTCATGCCTTCTGTTTGGGACTGCGTTGTCCAAAGAGGGGCTGCATTTTCCTTCACTCTTCATGAACCAACACGCAGCCTTCGGTGCAGCAGCGGCCTAGGCCGTGAAGTGCGTTGAAGCCTAGGGCCAAGGCATTAAGTGGGCAGGAGGAGGAGGYGAGAAGCCAATGAAGTGATTGGAGTGTTAATGCCAGCCTAAAACGTGCAGGAGCCAGGTAGGACCGGTTCTGTGCCATCTGGAAACTTATCATTGGCTTTACATCCAAGCTGAGAAACTGAGTTACAGGAATCCAAGCCTGGAGGTCTTTGGCCTTTTTTTGTAGAGAGAGAGGTTACTTTGTGAGTTAATGATGGAGTGGAAAAATGTGTTTAGTAATCAGTGCTCYATGGTCATAAGAAGTGCTATTTTATGTTTTTGTATAGTTATGTATATTTTCATGTTTTCTGCTATTGCATGGTTTTCTGCTAGCCCGGTTTCTAGCCAGCTTTTTGCATCATGTTTTGAAACTGGAGTGACTTCTCKTCTTGAAGGAGGAGGTGGTAGGGAGAAGTCTTTCAAGGCCTAGACGTTTTTGTTATCAGAGGCATTTTTGTCATTGTTCAAAGCAATATCAATTTTCTAGCTGTTGTGAATAAATAATTTTTTAAATTAAAAATTGAAATGTTATGTAGAAACGCTGTATGATTTTTCTCCGACAGTTTGGATGTTTTGAGAATGTTATGGTCAGGCATTTTCAGTTTTATTGGTTATAGTCATTTGTTTTCTCTCTTATTACATTCTTTTTAATGCATCCATATGGCTGCAGACTGTAGAATTATGTTTGAGTCAACTTGTCTGCTCTTTAATGGCTAGATAAATTTCCAGAATTTATTAGTCACAATAAATTTTGTAAGTTGTTATTCAAAAAAGGAAACTAAACTGAGAAAGCTTCTAGAGTGTCATCTATTGAATTCTTGAGTATGAGAGTGTGTTAAAAGGTCTTAATTTCCCATTMAATATCTCTCCTAAAGGTACTCAGTTTGAAGAGTAATGAAGAGGTGACATTGTCAGTTAAAAATGATACCAAGAATGTGACTGTATTTAATTCCCAGTGTCTTTTGCATAGGCATCCAATTAGTTACAGTACAATATTTGGGGCAAGATGCTGGTGATCAATCAGTATTAATTAGGCAAATAAGGAAAGATGCTTTTGGAAGAAAAAAAAAATCAGACCCTTCAGGAACGATCAGTAACTCCACTTAAACAGTCCTTGAAGGTAGTTTGACACTATTAAATTTTCATRAATACTTATTTTTACTCTTAACATTTGGCACAGTGTTACTGAGAAGTCCTTGTCACGTCTGCTCAGTACCCAGTGGCTTCAAACAGGCTGCTGGACTGGCTTGGAGGATGGCTGGGCCGGTTGTTCTGACTCCTTCAGTGCAAAGTTGGCTGGTTGACGGAGTTCARACACACTCATGAGTGCCTCTTGCATCCTGTCATTGGCTCTGCAAGTCACCAGAGCTTTAGGAAGATGTACAAATTGGGAAAATATTACTATATTTTGACAGTGAGGGTGTGAACTCAGATAAAATGGGATGGCAGTGGTTCAGTATTGTGTACCCTGAAAATCCACCCTTGATGGTTATTTGACAAATGTTGATTTGCAGGATTGACTCCTAGCTGTGCCAGGCAGGGTAGGTGTTGGTTTTTAAAACTCTTTTTAAAGAAAACAAAGGGAAAGCATACAAGACAGACGCTAGTAGAGATGAGAACAAAGTAATCAAGAATTTCACAGGATCACAGATTTTTTTGAGCTTTTGAATTGAATTTGAGCTTTTGCAGGAGATACCAAGTCCCTGACAAGTCTTGAATGGGACTTAGTCTGAACAGCAGAAGCCTGTAGTGATCCCAGCCACACTGTTTTGGACAGAGTGGTTGCTTTAAATTTTACTTAGAGGAATTTGAGCAAGAGAACTAAGAGCTCAATCATACTGTCCACATTGCTGTTACAGGCACAAAATAAACTGGCACAAGTCTATATGAATAGGCTACATAAACATCTTTTTTTTAAAAAAATATATTTTATCCATTCTTGCAGAGTTCGTTAAATTGCCATTGACTTTGTTCCAGTAATTTAGAATAAATGTTAAAAGTCCTTCTCAGGATTTTCCTGAGAACTTTTCCTTCTCAGTCCAGTCAATACATTTCTAAAGCATTTTTTTTTGCCCGTGTTTGGTAACTGTGGGATAATCAGGCCTCACGCTGTAGCAAGACAAAGTATTTAGTTTGCACAGAAAGACTATTTGTAGTACAAAGATGGAGAGCAGCAATTTGGGTATTTTATTTCCCCCCCTCCTCCCCGTAGCTGTCTAATGTGTCCCTTTGGGACCGAATCCTTGGGCTTTCTAAAAAATTTAGACATCAGTGATKTGGAGGCTGAGTGTAAAGCTGAGCTCTTTAAGGTGAGTTAATCAGTCTGACATCTCACTTGCACCCCGATTACCTGGGGAACCACAGTATAATCAGGGAAGCTTTCTGGACAGCAAACAAACTACGTCTCTGGTTAAAAGAGAATGTCAAATCTCTAGTGCTTTGCATTTCTGTTATATCCCTCTCCAACTGTCCAGATATTAAGAGCTTCACTAGGTATGGAGAAAAGCAGACTATTCCTTTAGTCAGTGCTTCAGTTCTCTTTTAGTAATCCAGCTATGTGGCATAATTTCAAACAGTGTCATGCAGAAAATTGCATGCTTGATCATTATAATAATCACTTCTTTAGGGAGCTTTTTCTTCAATCCTCCCCTGCAGTGGAAATACTGAATAGGAGARAAGACTTGTATGATTTCAAGATTACTAACTATCAACCTCTGCYGTGGCAGATGTTTGCATACTTGGTATTTGAGTCAATTTAATGTGGCTTTCTTTGCTTCTACTTTGTTGGTTTCATACCCTCTCACTTGTGGAAATGGAAAAGAYCTATTGGATGTGTTGGAAGAGAATGATGAGGGATATCCTTAATTTGATGAGGTTTATTTTGTTTTTTGGGGGGGGACTTTGATTTTTGTCTGAAAAATTCAACCTTATTTCTCTTACATTGCTGTGTGAGAAACTCAGCCAGGATGCTGATAGTTCATGTATTATCGTGTACACTATTAGGGTTATAGGGTCATTGGTAAGACAAATGTATGCACAAATAAGAAATTTGCTGCTACGCACTCAGATGGCAAGGGAGATTTGTCTTGGTACCCTCTACAGAGAAGACAGGGTGAGTATGAAAGCAGAGCTGCTAGAAAMAGTCCTCAGCCACCTCTGTCCCTTAGTGTCTTTGGCTGTGATGTAACCTTAAGGGTGATCCTTACAGCGCTGAAAAATTTGATACCAGGAAAATAGATCCGTGTTCCCAAAGCCGAGCCCGTTTCTCTCTGACCAAAGTGTTCAGGACAAGCCTCRGGCACCCACTTTCCCTTGCCACGTTGCTCTGGTTTGACAGAGGCTTCTCGTGGTGTGAAGAGGCCTCCGGCAACCATGGCACCAAAAGGCTCAGAGTGTCCCCCTGTCTTGCAGGCCTCTTTCCCGGGAAACCTGCAGCTGGTCCTTGTGCTGCGTCCCACGGGATTCTTTCATCGAGCGCTCTCGGACATCGCTTTCAAGTTCAACAAGGATGAGTTTAAAATGAAAGTGCCTGTAAGTAGGTCTTCTGTTTTCGCTTGATCATCAGGAATCTATGACAGCATTTAGTCTAGCTGACGTGAGAGGTGTTGGAAAAAAAGGTGCTGAAAGGCAGCTTCAGCAGTAACTCAGGATGGTTTTATTCTTGGGAGTGTTTTGGCTTTTATTTTGAGGGGCATTTTGTTTTTGACAGTTGCATCTGCCAAAGAAAACTGCTAAAAATGTTATTAATGGAGTGAACCTACTAWAGGTACCTGATATTAGATTGCCAATAAACCTGCAGTTTATACCTTTAAGTGCATAGCATTTATATTTAAGCCAGAGTTGCTAAAGATGATAATGTGTACAGGTAGGGTGAGTTGTTTTTGCTGGTTTTGTTTGTTGCTTTGTTTTTAACTTAATCGGATGCCAATTTCAAAGGTGAAGGTGAGTCTTAAAGATACTTTGCTTTTATCCCCTTTTTTCTGCTTTTGGGGAATCCCTTCATGCAGAATTTGTGGAAATACTACCATGCTCTAGCACAGGCTCAGAACTGTGAGGAAAAGCAGCAAGTAATGAATGAAGTGATGCTGCTCTGCCAGAAGATAACTGTATGGTTTAGAGAATAAAATAAAAATGTGCTGTTAAGCCTAATGCGCATGCTCATATTTACAGTTATTTAAATGTCCATTACCTTGAGTTGAAACAACTTCTAAGTTTGCTTTTGCTGGAATTGCTCCAAGGAAACAATTCCATCACATGCTTTTGTGTTAAATAGAAATTACCCCATCAGACACTGAAGGGTTTAGCTTAAAATCCCTCCTGCGGGCCCTACCGCCACTGATGGTGTTCCCTTTCCTTGCTGTTGCAGATCATAATGCTGGGCTCGGTATCAGAACTGCAGGGTTATATTGATAAAACACAATTAACAGAAGAACTTGGTGGCACCCTGGATTACTGCCATAACAGATGGCTGTCCTGTCGCACTGTAAGTCTTAGTTATTGTGTCAGCTTAATGGGCCCTTCTGTTTTATACGCTGTCATTTATAAAACAGATTCCAGTTGATGCAAGTTGACTTACTCTGAGTGAGAAGATGTTCCCAATGGTACTTAGTCATCTTAGAGAAATAATATGAGTAATAACTTGGGAGTGGTTTTCTTGGGGCTTGGAGCAAAGGAGCTACAGTATATTGTTGTGCTGAGGTTTATTGGCTTTTGCTCGAAGAAAGAAAAAACTCAAGTTGTAAAATAACTCCAGATTATAAAAATATGAGGAAGAAATACCTGATACAAGACTAGGGGAGAAAAAAAATACAATTAAGGAATTCATGGTGATGGCTCCTTTTGCTTACAAAATGAAGCTTTGACCGTTTTTCAGTCTCTTAGTCCAGCTGTGCGGGTTTGCTATGAGTTGCATCTTGTGTGTGTGTATGTGTGTGTGTTTAGACCTTGAAATATTTTAATGGTTTTTTTTTTTTAATTCCAAAAGGCTATAGAAAGTTTTGCCCAAATGGTTAAGCAAACAGCTCAGATTCTTCAGTCCTTTGGGACTGAGTTGGCTGAAACAGAACTGCCAAATGATGTGCAATCAACCAGCTCCCTTCTTGCAGCGCACGCAGAGAAGAAGGACAAAATGAAGGTATGTAACTTGCATAGAGATACTTTTTTGGTTAAGGTGTGTTTTAAACTAAGATTAACAGCATTAATAGAAAATTTGCAGAGTATTTGAAGTTAATGTATGATGATAAAGTCAGACTCTGTAATGCTATTAAAGTTGTTTGGCTTGGTTTCAAGTTAAGAAAATCTTTATTGCATTCAAAAGAGATGTTTTCTAAGGTTAAGTGCACTTAAATAAAATGCATAATGACTCATATCAAAATAGAAGTTCCTATAAGTTGTGTTCAATTTGATAGTTTTTGATTGYAACAATAAATTTGATTGTATTTGCATGCATATAAAGAATACCATCTTTTGAGGAATGGACAAATGTTCTTTCAAATCACCTTAAATAGAAGCAATTTCCTATTTTCAAATATGTTTTAGATGTACAATATTGTAGCTTAGTGAGAAACTATAAAGCTATCTATTGTGACTATTCAAGCTCAGTGTAATACAGTCCAGAGGTAGAAATAAGCATATAAAAAGCTGACCTTTAGTGTTTAGTCTCTTGTCACTGCTTTTAATCAAACTGCACTTACTCAACTACCACTTTCTTTTTCTGTTTTGATGCTTTATGAAGTCTTAAAAAAAAAAAAAGAGACTATTTCTGTGATCACTTCTCGGTTTTGCTTTATAGGAGGATATAAGGTTAGCTGTAGAACAGGGAGATGATATCCTTGGAAGTATTACAAAACCAGTTACTGAGAACCCTGAATACAAACTGAATCAAGATCAACTAGACAATCAAACAACCGTGAAAAGGTGAGAGGTGTAAAATAGTTAACGTGATGCTGTTCTGGCTTTCTGACCCATGTCTGACTCTAGTACTTAATTCTGTGTGCATGCTTAGCAAAGGAGGAAGCATTACAGAGCCAGCATAAAAAAAGGGCTTTCAGAAACCACACTTTTGTTATGAGATCTGTATTGAGCAAAGTAATCTCTTGRTCATCTGAAATTAAGGGAATAGGAGAAACAATATGAATTTCAGTATTGACTTTCAGTATTGACAGACAGGGTKTTTTTTTGTTTTCCTTTTTTGCTTTTTTTATTTTGTTTTGTTTTTGTCATACTTGAACTATGTAGTTGAACTTTTGTTTTTGTCATACTTGAACTATGTAGTTGAACAGAAGATTTTGTCTTTGTATGACCAAAGCACAGTCCAAACAAATCTCCCTGCTAGGAAGGCAGAGAGAAAAAGATAGCAATTATATATCTCTTTTGAATAGTTTGTCTGCTGTGTCTTTCAGGAGATTTAAGTGTTTTCTATACATTCCATACTTGAGGCAGCTGTTCTCAGAAGAAGATTTTGTGCCTGGGCAGTTGAGAAATAGTAAATTATTTTGGCGGTCTCCGGAGTCAACAATTAATTTTGCACTATTTCCTCAGAGAAGGTGTTGGAGCAGGAGCTTGTTCCTCCTCTGAGTAAACCTGAAGGAGCTTCTAATGTTGTGTAGCTCATAGCTTTCAAAGGGCTGTTGGAGAGTTCTCTGCTCTTCAARTATGTACACAGCAACGTGCATGTGCCTATGGAAGGTAATAGGTGCTGTGCCTCACCACCACATCCTCCAAAGCACTGCCAGCCTTCAAGGTTTCTATCCTCATAACAGATGTAACTCTGAGCAAGGCTATCAACGCATAGCTCACTTCCCCWAGGCAGTATTCTGCATTGTTGTTTTTGTCTGTCATTCCATGTTTCTGTCACTTGGACTGACTTTTTTCCTAAAATAACTGTCCACTCCAATGAACAGAGCTTGGCAGGAGCCGCTCTTTTTGTCAGTGTTGATATTGCCCATCTGAAGGGCAGCTGGAGGGGTGTTCAATTATGCAAATTTTTTTAGTTTATATAACATCTGAAGAAAGTTGGAACTAGCTGTGTATATGTGTGCATTTTTTTCTAATTGGCTCAGTCTGTGAATTCAGCATTCATATCTGTGACATTAAAAATGAAAATTCATGAAAATTCTGACCTACAGCTTTCCCTCAGTATMGCCTAAGCACACAGCAAAGCACAGTGTAGAGCTAAGTCCATAGGACAGCGTGATGTCAAACACAATATACCAATAGATGAGTTGAAAAGTAAAGCCTTAAGGTGTTGGGCCAAAATCACGAATTAAGTGAATACTGCTGTATAGCCATCTAGGATATAAAGGAGCCAGTCTGCTCTGAAGAGCTGAAACAATGACCCTGAGTGTTTTATGGGCCTTTCTCCAAGGAGAGTAACAGAAGGGCAGCTGGCTCGTCACAGCAGGACATGTTCTTGCCCTCTGTTTTTTTCTTCTTATAGCCCAGGGCTTTGGTTCCTGAGTCCTGGCCAGTATTTGCACATTTTCTTCATATTTGCTAGCCCCAAGTCCCCATGTCCCAGGTCAGAACTGAGAAATAGCTCTGCACAGCAGCTCGCCTCGAGTCAGCRCTTGCCAGTTTTTCAGAACTGAATGTTTGTGTTGGGTTTCAGTTTAACAGCAAATATTATTCCAGGATACAATTCTGTGCAGTATAAAAAGAACAAAATATATCCTATTAAAAATATGTCCTCTAAAAAGGAAAAATAGTCTTATATCCAGTTCATTGCTTGCTGGAGAAATACTGTTTTGGGGAGGCCTTCTGTTCACTGTGGAGGTTGTATTGTCCCTTGAAGGTTGCATCCATCACTCTTCCAGTATTTCGTTTTAGGCTTCTGGCTCAATTGCAGGAAACGGAGACTGCCTTTGATCAGTTTTGGACTAAGCATCAGCAAAAACTCGAGCAGTGCCTGCACCTCCGGCATTTCGAGCACAACTTTAGAGAGGTGAGAGCTTCTTGGTGGCAGTCAATATTTGGTAACGTAGAAATGATTCAGAAGCAAATACATCCCCTGTTTTTTGTAGCTTGTGTGTTCATGAAAAGTTTCTCTGACTTTTTTTTTCCTTGATTGTGTCCTTACTTGACATCCTGCTATCTTTACTCCCTTGAGTACTTCTTCATAGGCATGATGGCTTCCCTTCTGCAATGGAATGGTGTCTTTTATTTTCATTTTTTCCCCAGACTCAGCATTGTATAGGAACTCACTCCTTTGAACCCCTTTTTCCACTACACAAGCACAGTGTGTTGGCTGCAAAGCTTTTGTCTTGCTGGTAGCCCCTTTATGGAACCAAGCCTTACTTGAACTTTCTGGCTGATTTACTTGATAAAACTTCATAAAACGGCCTCCAACAATGTGGGTGGGAAGCTAATGTCAGAAGTTGGGTGGAGGCTGAACTGAAAACTGGACAGCCAGTTTCTGATCTCATGTTAGTTTAACTCAAATACTTGATGGCATCTACAGTTAGTTTATACTAGTGTAGCTGATTTCAGGATCTGGCCCCATGGAAAAAACAGTTGAAAACCTTTTGCCAGTGTGTATGTCTGTTTCTGTCCTGTCTCTATCAGTGGTATGGTGGAGATCTCTTCCTTGTATTTGGCCATTTGTTTATAGTAATGCCACTTTATGTTACTGCCAGCTGATAAAAGCAAGACCGTATTTGTTCCTTGAGCATTGTTGTTCTTGGATTTGTTTTTTTTTTTCCAGTAGCAGAAAACAAGACTAATTTTGTGTCTGTTTTTCTGTGTTTGTTTTCATTTTGGATTTGGGTTACAGGTAGACTGACAAAAACAAATTTGTCTCCATGTTCCACTAGTTCTGTGCTGYGGGTGACCTGACCGAAAACATTGGTTATCGGCTGCCTAAGTGATGAGCCTCCAGAGAGGTGAAATCATCCTCATTGATGCATTGCTGTATCTTGTTTCAGGTTAAAGCAGCTTTGGATATTGTGTCCGAGAGACTGTCTGCTTTCACAGATGTAGGAAACAGCTGCTCACATGTGGAGCACATTTTGAAAGATCTTGCCAWCTTTGAAGAAAAATCATGTGTAAGAATCCTGTAACTTTTCCTTATTTCAAATGTAATAACGTGGGTGTTTGGGGAGGGACAATATTTGGATACAAACTAGAGCCCATATCCAGAGCTTAGCTGACGACAGGTTGGAGTCAGTGTCTCCAGTAAGGAGAAAACAGAATTTGGAATAAAACAAATAGCAGGAGTAACCCTGGTCTAGGACACCCCTCAATAAAGMGTCAAGCAACCAGTCCTAAAGTTTGATTCCTTCAGTTCATGGAAGAATCACATAATGTGTCTACAGTAGCCGAGGTCTGGATTTTATGATCAAGAGCTTCATCCATTCCTGCTGAAACTACCAGAAGGCTGAGTATTCAGTGTATATATATTATGCTAAAACATGACCAACATAAACAAATACTCTCAGCAGTGCAGGAGTGAAACCTTATTTTCRTATTATGACCTGTGAGTGAGCTTGTGAGGCTGAGGTGAGTATTCCTTGGTTTGCGTTCAGTTTGCGGACRATACCCATCAAGTTTCTTGCAAACACCCACAGCATCTCTGACAAGTCACTTGTTTGCTGTTGAAGAACTAAGGCACAGAAAGACTAATAGCAGTTCCCTCAGGGGGCCATACAATTAAACTCATTAATGTTCTGAAGCTAATCTCATAGAATAAAGGTGGAGACGTAAATGTTTGTATGCATTTGGAAAGACAGGAAAACAGATTTATTAAATAAGATGACTGTTAAGTAGGGATATGTATATTTTGTCTTGGTTTTTTTTGTTTTGTTTTTATTCCATAGCATGTCTGTTTTGCTGTGTAAAAAATAGATGGTAATTTTTTATTTATTTTCTTTTAACTGAAGTTGATGCAGGAATAAATGTACTTAAATCAATGCTTTATTTCTTAGGAAACTATAGCAAAGGCCAGAATGCTAGCCTCAGAGGGAGACCGCTTTATTCAAAGCAATCACTATGCTGTGGACTCCATTCTTCCAAAATGCAGTGAGCTTCATCATCTCTGTGATGCTTTTACTGCAGAGACAGAACAGAAGAGGAATCTTCTGAACAAATCTCTAGAACTGCATGGCTTGTTAGAAAAGGTGAATTTGATGTTGAACAGTTCTGTTTCCTATCTTACTTTTAAAACCTCAGTCAACCAATTGTGATAAAAACAGATAGAAATATCTGGTTGTTCTGTGACTTTTCTCCCTGTGTAGCTGAATACTTGATAGTAGAAGTGTGAAGYGTTTTAGACCTCTTAATGATAACATTAGTGTATACTAAGCCTGTTCTTTTCTCTCTTTCCAGTCTATGAAGTGGTGTGATGAAGGAATTTATCTGCTGGCTTCACAGCCTGTAGATAAGTGTCAGTCTCAGGATGGTGCAGAATCAGCATTACAGGAGATCGAGAAGTTTCTGGATACTGGTGCAGGCAATAAAATCAGAGAGCTGAATAAAATCTACAGGGAGTATGCACACATCCTCAATGAGGACCTGAAGGTACTAGAAGTATTTTATGTGTGTATCCATCTATCASTTCCTTTTAAATTGCTGTCTTGTATGGCCAGTGATAAAGCTAATCCTGCTAGGTAACTATTCTAATCATCAGCTCAGTCATCTAGTCATTACAGCTGTGAACTGGAAAACCAACACGTTTCCCTACCTTAGCTGCCAGTCTTGTCGTATCTTCAGGTAGAGATCAAGGGCTTCAGAACCTTTTAAAAATGACTTCAACTTTTCAGGTAGTAGATTTAATTTTAAAAAATCCCACTATATATATATATATATATATATATATATATATATATATATATATGAGAGAGAGAGTTATATAAAATGAGTCCATAAAATACCTACCTATGTAGGAAATATGACTGTCTCTACTATTTGAGTGACTTGTAAAAAAAGGCAGTTGTAAAGTAGAACTTGAAAATACGTTTCTTGATCGATCCCTTCTTGTAACAAATATGCCAGACACTTTCAAAAAAACTTTTCCCTACCTTCTTATCAGTAATATAAGCCTCAGCCCTGTTCGTCTCTCTAAAGATAGCTGTAGTGTTTTGTGATGTCCCTTTTTTGAAAAAGGTACTAAAACCTGTAAATTATGCCTTGCTAGACTAGGATGATTTTTTATATGTAGTGTCAAGGCAATCACTATTAAAAATCTGTATTCTGCAAATGACAGTGTAGCTTGTTGAAAAGTCTCTAACAGTRACTTTTTCTAATTCTGTGGCAACTGTAGGAGCATGTGCAAAAGGTATTTCAGAAGCAGGAAAGCATGGAGGAAATGTTCCAGAAGAGACAAGTAAGCCTTAAGAAATTGGCAGCTAAGCAGACACGTCCCGTTCAGCCAGTTGCACCAAGACCTGAAGCCTTTGTAAAATCTCCCTGCACTTCTCCAGGTAAGTATCTATAGGAGTCTTTAAAAAACTTATTGTGCAATGCTGAGGACCTCGAAGAAACTTTCAGCTGTAATTTTTGGTGGTACAAACATCAGCGTCAGATTTGCTCAAGTTCTAACTGCCATTGGATTTTGCTTTGTGTATTAGGTCCTCAAAGAGAGCATGTCTCCAGCTCAGAAAGCAACGTACTTCGGAGGCTAAACTACAAAAGGACAAAGGTAAYTTTCATGTGTGTGTTTTTTCTTCATGTTTTTCATGCACATACTGCCACAAAAAGTTGTAACACTATGGAATATTAAAGAACCTGAAGAATGAAGCAATTCAACAAAAAGTGACAGTATTGCCCCATCAAAGCAACTCTGGTGAGGCAGTTATATGGCTTACACAGTGGCTACTTTGTTGCTCAGTGATATATGAGGGAAGGCCAAGTAAATAATTGCCTATATTAGGAAAAACATGAAGGGTAGCAAAACATATAGTCTGTGAACAGGAAACATTTATTATTTGCCAGTAGTAATTGGCTACATTTAAAACTGGCAAGAGTRAAGAGGTAGTTGTCGTTGGCTCAAAGATGGCTTCATCTAATCTAATGGTTTGCCATTCCCAAGTGGGGAAGGTCTTCCTGCCCTGCYGTGAGCAAGGAAAGCAACCTGATGGCAGCAGTAGAAACAGTTTCCCAGTGASTCTGAGAGTTGAATTAGCACAGCAAAGGTTGGTCAAGAGCCAAGAACTGATGCAAAGAGTTAGGCAGGATCACATGACCAGTAGTGGCAAGGGTTGAGGGRGGAAAAAAAGAAAAATAATAAAAGGGCTTTGGTTTTGGGGGGACTGGAAGCACAACCTTGCTGCTTCAACAAGTGTGATGAGCTCATCTGCTTACAGTACAAGTTGCAAGAGTGAACTTCCGTGTCCAGGTAGGCCTTTAGCAGAAAGGGGCCACATAGTACTTCGTTCTTTTAGGTTAGAAAACATACTGAGGGCAAACTTTGAGGTTATGCTGATACTCTGACATTGTCCTTTTTGGAAAGGGAGCTTAAGCTATGTTTTTTCAAAGCTGGCCCTTCCTGGAGAGTAGCTAGGTCTTCTTGTGTGCCTCATGACCTGCAAGTTGACTTTGAGTCTTTTGCTACKTTCTTGCAAATTGCATTTATCTCTAACAGCGTACAGTGAAAATGCGTGCAAGTAGAGAAGATGAAAAGTTTCATTTTTACATTTTCCCCTGCTTTCTGTGATGCTGTTTTTTTCTTCCTTGTTTGTGTTCACCCTGTTTCCTTTTTTTAAGAGTGAAATGACTGAACTCCATCAAAACAGGGGAGGATCTACAATGGATGATGAAGAAAACCTAGCTGTATTAAGGCAGTAAGTATATCTTGGCAAAAAAAAAAAAAAAAAAAATCTTTCTCTGATTTGCTTCCAGGAAAGACTGGAAGGATTTGATAAGATGAATATCCTTCTCTGAATTAAGCTTCCGTATTTTTGGAATATGTTCTGTACACACAGAAAGATATTTTAGTCTATTTCAGTCTGTAGCTTTACTTGTGYTTTCTATAATAACAGATTCTGGCTTTATTACACCTAGGTGATGCTATAGCAGGGTAATTACATGTGTTCATTTCAGAAACATCAAAGCCTCATTTAAACTTTTGGAGGTTTTGGTCTCCATACTTGAAAGGACTTCAGTATTTTATTTAAATCTTTTTAGTCTCCGTTTCAGTAAATCTTAAGAAAAATCTTTTCCAGATAGAAAGCCAACTGTGTCCCTTGTATTGTAAAAATAACTTGGTACTGCCTGCAACTGATACAGCAGAGCTTGCTTCTGTACCTGAAAACTGAGGCTTTGTTAGCTTTTCATGAGTTCAGAAGAGGCAAAAAAAGGAGGAAGAAAARCTTTGTATACCTAAATATGCCCTAAATACCTGAATGACTAGTGATACTCCTGTGATACTTGTAAACATGACARAAACAGTTTTTACATGGTGTATGATGATAAAAGTTCCCTGTTTCCATTTAGTTCCTGCAACACTTAAAATACTAAGCTTAGCTTTTTTCCCTTTCAGACAYTTTTATTCAACTTCAAGATGTTTCAAAGATGAATACCTGTCGACCAGGATATATAAACTGATGACAGAKATATATATACACACACACCTTATATATAATGATATATATATAATGATATATATCATTGTATATATTATATACATATAATGATATATTATATATAATATATATCATATATATAATGTATCATTATGTATATATAATGTGTGTGTATATATATTTCTGTTTCATATATGTATGTCATATATGTGTRAAACATTTGTAAAACTTCACATTTTCCATTAATGGGGAATTAGTCCATTCTTGTTTGAAATAAGATGCACACGGACAAAGTTAACATTGCCTCACTAATTTGTGTGAGTGAAATAGGCCTTCCTTAATTATCATTCTTTGCGTACAGGCATGTGATTAATGAACTTATTGAAACCGAACGGGCATATGTGGAAGAACTGCTCTGTGTTCTTGAGGTAAGGATTAAGTTTCACTGTGTCTGTTGGTGAATCTGTTCACCTCCTCCGTTTCATGGTTGTTCGTATATCTTTCCTTATCACTGTAATGTCTTAGTTGGTCCTAGCAAGCAATGTGCTTATGACATCTCTCCTCTCTATTTGTATTTTCATGGAATTAGGAATAGGCATTTTTGTGTTTCTATAAATATTCATGCATCTAGCATCTTATATTAGAAAGCACAAATGGGACAGCCTACTTACTTAGGTAGAAGGTAGCAAGATTTGTATTTGCCCTTAATTCCTCTATAAATTGATTCTACAGTCTTGCATTAGCCTCTTCCTCCCACCCTCCTCAAAAAGTTTTCCTTCCATAGGAATGTGAACCTACATTTTATAAAAATTTTATAAAAATTTTTATACATATCGGTCTTGCCTCTGGTTGGTTTGTGTTCTGCAATCTACAACAGTCTTGTGGGCCCTAACCAAGTGCTGGCAAGTCTTGATGACAGGAGCACCCTCAGGTCTGATGTGTGATGGTCAAGCAGTGCAGGACTGGGGTGAACCTTAAGGATCACTTGGAACTATTCCCTGCTGTTGTAGGCAGTGCCCTCTACGTGATTATATTCATAAAATCCAGAGTCAGTAGCTGAGGAATACTGATGCTGCTGGAGAGCTGGTGCAGAATCTCTTGTTCTCATTGCTCTTCCTGCTTGTTCTCGTTTTACATAGAATATAGTGTGTCCTTTGTCTGCTAGGTTTCTGCCAGTGTGATAGCCTCCCCAGTGCTCTGACCATGCCAGGAACATCTCCTACAGTTTGGGGTTAATCTCTCTTGAACTTGAGTGATCGGAACTGCCAGAAGTAATTCTGAATGAGAACCTTTCTGGTGTTGTGTTCAATGGCACTTTTCCAGGTTTTGAGCAATTATCGTTTATTTCCAGTGTTGGCTATTCTCCCAATTTCTTTCTTTCTCTTGCTCTATTAGCCTTTCCATTTTTTTCCGTACTGTGACCTGATACTGCTCTGTATGGACAGTGTCTCCTAATATTGCATCACTTTTCATCCCTCTGCTTTTTTTCCTTTGCCAGGGTTTCTCATGGAAAATTGCAATCTCCAAGATCAATCACTGGGAAATTTCACTTAAATTCTTTCATCTGAGCTGTGATTACATTAATAACAATCATCATACCTTTTTAGCCTGTGAAATCCAATAATTTTATTGGGACAAAGTATTGCCCTAGTTTCTTTTGGGATTTTTTATTGTATTCCTTTTTCCACTTAAATATTTCTTCTTTAAAACAGTTTTCGAAGGGAAGGCTTAGCAAAGCCTTGTATACTACAAGGAGTATCTATATATTTATGGCTGCCTGCATAGCTTACCTCTCTTTTTCTTAAAATATGCATACTGAATCAGTAGTAAAATCTAAACTTTTTTTATTATTATGAATTTTTAAAAAGTGCTACACCAATTTGAAGCAAAGATTTTTTTTTTTATACCTTTTTGACTTATGGATTTCATGCTTTAGCCATTTTCAGAATTCTAAAGCACTGAGCTCTCTGAACTTTGGAAAGTAAAGTTTAATGGAAAAGGTGTCATCTTTCCATCACCATGGGAATGCATAGCTGTTGCTTGGTGGCGATGATTGCAAACTTGCCTTGCTTACCTAAGAAATGCAGTAATTATTCAAATGTTGCAGGTTTGTCTTACAGGACTGACTGGAAAAGAAAATAAAACAAATTAAAAGACATATTTCATGATTACTACAGAACTTTCTTGGATGTTTATCAGTCTGCAGGCAGATGATCTTGTTGGGGGAGAGAGAGAGCGAGCGAGGTACTGGGATTAACTGGAGATAAGCAGTGAGCCTCTCTCCTGTGTTCTAGGGCTATGCTGCAGAGATGGACAACCCCTTAATGGCTCATCTTATTCCACCGGAGCTCCAAAATAAGAAGGATATTTTGTTTGGGAACATGGAGGAAATCTATCACTTCCACAACAGGTGAGACTTGAATATAATTTTTTAAARGCATTTCAGTGGGCAGCTACTTTACATTTACTGCAAAGTGTCTTATGATTTTTTCTTTAAATCTGAATAAAATTACTAGAAGAGCCTTGTTGAGCCAGTCCAATCTGACTGTTCAGAGTATAAAAATGCACATTTCATTGGAGGGGAAGAATGCTTAAGATACAGGCTGTGTGAAATTTTACTCAATTATTTGTAGAACACAAGTAACACTTTATTATGTTCATTTTTCTGAATAAAAATCATTGTGATTTTTAGTTACAGGCTAACTAAAGCATGTGTCATTTAGGAAGGTTTGATTTGTTTGTTTTCTGTTGCAACTTGTAATGCAAGATGAAGATTCTCCTAAGCCATAGCCACTCAATACTCTTCATGTGTGATTAAAGCTGTTTTATTTTATGAACGAGTGGCTCATGGGCTTGAATCCCTGCTGCTTGTGAGGTCTTTCTTCATAGGATAATATCTAAGTTGATAGAGAAGTATTTTAAAGAGAGGTTAAGCATATTAAATAGTGATTTCTTATTCAGGAAAAAAATGTAGTGTAAAAATTGCCACTTCTTTTTGATTTTCCCATTTATTTCTTTTTCTTGATGGTGTTTGGTAGTATTTGAAAGAGGAGGATGAGGGGAGAAATACTTAAACTGCTTAAATCTTACTGCTAGGTAGACAAAGAGAAGAAAACTTAATATCCCTAGTATCTTATGTTTGGCTTCAAATATGAACTAAAAGCAATTAGTCATAATTCTTATTGTTTTGATTGTTTCTTTTTAAATGCATGATCTGGGAAACTTTTTGTAACCTGTATAGTACAAAAATAAAACTTTTACTTCCAAAAGTTTAGGAAATGAATTGTAAGAATGTGAACTTTTATTACAACTGTTTAGTTTTTAAAATGAGCTGTAAGAAATTTTTCTTCCTTATAGAATATTCCTGAGAGAACTAGAAAATTATGTAGAATATCCAGAGCTAGTAGGACGATGTTTTCTGGATCAGGTATGTATCGTAAATGTCTCTGCTAGCATTTCATTCAAAAGCTCATCTAACACCATCATACRGATGATTTTAATTGTAATATTTGTAATATTAATTATACTAATTGCCACCAGATCCCTTTATCAGCCTAAGCAGATAATGCATAGTTACACAAGTAGTTGTTAATTGGAGTTAAGGATGTTTTCAGCTGCTTTWGGTAAATCATTTGGTTAGGAAGAGCTGCTGCCATGTTGAAAGAGAAGTGCTTTACTAAAGTTGCAATTAAAAACATAAAGGTGCAAAAAACATAAAGATGACTTGTRCACTGAATCATTTTGCATCAATATAAATGGTTTATTTACCCGATTTCCTTTTTCCTTGGCTATTCTCTTCTTTTGGTTTTTTTTTTTTCCCAGTTCATTTCTAGTTTCTTTACAGATTATACCTCAATGGAGTAAGTTTAAAATATTCTTATTATGAAAGGCAAAAGTTATGGCCGAATTACACTCTGGTGGAAAGAACTGGGAAGTGTGTGCACAGATCCTTATCTGTGCATTTCCAGCAGATTTAGAAACGGGACTAGGAGGCTGTGTCTAGGATTGTAATGAGCTAACAGCAAAGCTCATTATACACACTTCCTAGTGTATGTAAAACCCATTTCTATGACTTCTGTGAGATTTCTTTTAAGTAATCTTAGATTTTGTTATTAAAAATGTTTAAAAATCAAAGTAACTCTACAGAAGAGCCTTGTGTAATGCCTAGACAAAATCCTGTGTAAGGTCAGCTTACGAGCTGAGCTGAGAGGTCATAAACTTGGTTGTCCCTCTGTATGATATTTCACTCAGAAAGTGAGCGTGAAAGTTTCAGGAGTAAGTGTATGAAAAGTTTTCTTATGTGCACAAGTCTCTTAGAGCAGCAAGAATGGTGTGTAATTAGTGTAAGCAGACATAAGCACTTGTGAATCGTAAARAGTAAAATTGGAAGAGAGTGTTGAAGTGATAATGTGCAACCAATTGCTTGGTCTCCCTTGGTACTGYTTTTGGTGAACAACATGCTTGTAAAATCCAAATCCACAATGAAAAAAGCAAGGATTTTTAAATAGGTTGTGTGGACAGTGAGTTTTGAGTGTTTGAGTATTATTTTTCACATRTTTTATATTCATGAAATATTCACGTATATTCACTTATTTGTAAATATAATATCCACTTCCCTATGCAGTGCTTACCATTTGACTGAAGCAAAAATTAGCAGCAGTGTTTTATTCTGAAATTCAGGTTGCAAAATTAACCCATACCGTTTTTTGCATGAATTTTCTTTTTCTTAAAGGAAAAGAAGCTTTTTTTCTTAAAGCTATGCCTGTTAAAGTCACAATCATTTATTAACTTGTTGCTGTTCTCTCCAATTTCAGATGGAAGACTTCCAGATTTATGAAAAATACTGCCAAAATAAACCCCGATCTGAAAGTCTGTGGAGGCAGTTTTCAGACTCCGTATTCTTCCAGGTCCATCTTTGAGGCTATTAAAATATTTGTGTTTTTAATTTGATTTTTTTTGTCATTTTTTTCTGGAAATAAGATACTTGTTTTTGTACTAATGAAATGCATTACTGATTACAGGAATGTCAAAGGAAACTTGACCACAAGCTGAGTTTGGACTCATATTTGCTGAAACCTGTTCAAAGAATAACCAAATATCAGTTACTGTTAAAGGTACACTTTTATGCAATAGTATTATAAAATACTCATCTTGGGGGGATGTTCTGGGTGTGTGTTTTGGGATTTTTTGTTTTTTTCTTAATGCTGCTTCTCTCAGCCAAGAGCTGTATAAATCAGATCAGAGACAAATCCCAATCTAGCAGTCCCAATCTAGATACTTTTTTTTGCCTTTTTTTGCTTTTATTTCTGCTGAAGAAGATAAGAAAGTTGACTAGGGGAATCRGAAGAATCAAGAAATCATTTCAAGAAAGTTAAAAAATCTGAACCACTTGTTAGTATTCAGTGACCTCATGCCTGTTACAGGAATTAGCCTTCCTGGTTTTGAGACTGCAGCCRGGAGATATCCTCAAGTTAATCACGGTCTCCAAAGCTGCTCAGGTTTCTAGGAAATGTCCTTAAGCAATTCTTTTTAATAAAGCTTTTTAAGAAATACTTTTTAACTGACAGGGTTGTATGATATTTTCAGGAAACATGCCATTGTGATTCATTTAAATGTATTAAAATGAGAGCACAAAATGAGAGGAATATGCCCTTACAAATTTCAAAATGAGTATCTGTTTTGCCACCAAACTTTTGTAGCATATAAATATCTGAAAACAGCTTGTTTTAAGAAATATTTCACGTGAAGACACTCAGTTTCAATAATTATATTTAACAGTATTATTTTTAAATTACCTTAACAGTATTATTTTTAAATTACCTTGTCCCAAGTTTACTCTTTATCCTGTGGTCTGACATCTTTGAGTAAAAGTGTCTTCTCATGTGTCATCTCCCGCAAGTCTGTGCGGCTCCACATGGTTTCATAGCTGTGTTTGTTGGGATCAGATTGCAGGATCAGGGCCCTTGGATTAAGGGGTCTTTTGTCACTTCACCAATAAACTCCTTGGAGAAGGACAGCTTTTTTTAATATGTATAGAGCTGTTCTYGAAGCAGTAAGTTTAGATCTGTTGCTAGCATCCCAGATATTACCGGCATTCAAATAATAAATAAATTTTGCCCATTTTTTTTGCACTTATTCATTTAAAAAAAATAGAGCAAATATGCACGTAACTTTAGCAATTACGGTGTAAAATGTGTGCAAGACTAGTCTTGCAAAATTCCTAGGTAGCACTTAGTTAACATGATTGAAGTATTTTCGGGCTAATTAGCAATAGATGCAAGAGGTAAAACTTTAGGGATCTGCTGGTTCCAGCCACTAGGCATGTGGTAAACACTTAATCAGACAGCTTTAAAATTATAGCCCATGGTTGGTGTTAAGATTTGGACATTCTTAGAGACTGCTGTTTCCAAAACTAAGTAAACATGTCATTCCTCACACCCTTAGGAAATGCTGAAATACAGTAAGAACTGTGAAGGTGCTGAAGATCTCCAAGAAGCATTAACTTCTATCCTGGGTATTCTCAAAGCAGTGAATGATTCTATGCACCAGATAGCCATCACTGGCTATGATGTGAGTAGCAATATTTCATTTTTCTTACATGCCTGCATGCAACATACCCACATATTGTGCCCCAATAAYATAGGAGAGAGGAGTGCTTTACCAAAGAGCCTTTTACTGAATTGTCTGTGGTTTTGTTTTTCTTCCAGGGAAATCTGAATGAGCTGGGCAAGCTTTTGATGCAGGGATCCTTCAGTGTCTGGACTGATCATAAAAAGGGTCACTCGAAGGTGAAGGATCTGGCGCGCTTCAAGCCGATGCAGCGGCACCTCTTCCTCCATGAGAAAGCAGTGCTGTTCTGTAAAAAGAGAGAAGAGAATGGAGAGGGATACGAGAAAGCACCTTCCTACAGCTACAAACACTCCTTGAATGTAAGACATTGAGCTGTGCAGTAACCGCTCTGGTTCTGAGGGCTTAGGTTGCAGTAATGCAGCATTTTGTTGCTTTGTCAGCACAGATGTGATATAACTCTGCCATTTGAGACAAATCTGATTTGGTGCTGCAGTTCTGTGTCATTTTGTGTTGTTCTCTATTAAAGAGTCACRGGAGGGTGAAAACGCTCTGCTTTGAGAAAATCCGAACTACATTAGTTTGAATGAATGGCAGATTGCATTAATTGCACAGAAAACGAAATCATGAGTAGAGTAARATAGTGTAAAACAGAAAGAAGACCTGTCGGTCTCAATTCTCCTTGTGGCTCAGTCACAATTTAACATAAACTCTCCTTTTCTCTGATGTAACTAAGCTGACACAAAACAGGTAATCTCTTGTAGTCAGCCTACAGGTCATGCGTTGCTGGTTGTTATTTTTACTTGAGCAAGAAGCTGAATGTGGTTTTGCTTTTCAGGAAAAAGGTTAAGAAACACCATTAGACTTCTGCTTTCGTTCTTATCTTAGTTGCAATTTGGTAGGTCAGCTTCTGTTTTTTTTGCTTCCAGATGGCAGCAGTTGGAATAACAGAAAATGTGAAAGGTGATGCAAAGAAATTCGAAATCTGGTATAATGCAAGGGAAGAAGTTTACATCATACAGGTAAAAATATGTTGCTACTTTAAATAAATAACTCTAAGAATATCCAAGTTGTTTTCTTTTGTATGTTGTTAGGAACAGTGAAGCAAAAAGGGGAAAAACTATAAACAGCTTAATTCAAAATCCAATTTTAAATGACAYATTCTAATTGCAGAGTTTTCTGCAGGAAAAAAAAAGTCAAGTTTTGGCATTCCTACATGGAATACCAACTGTAGTAGTAATTGCAATATTACAAGTCATCAGTTGGAAAAAAATGGAGTAAAACAGTATAGAGTGAACATTGATCCTGGAAGAACTTACAGCTTACATCTCTGGAATCCCACTAATTACAGTAATATTTTTCAGACGTGAAATAACATGTTTGCAGGGTGAGAACTATTACAACAGGTTTAAAAGAACAAGAACTGGTGACATTTCCAAATTAGCTGTATACACTATTGCCATTCTCACAGGAATAGCATTGTGTTGGGAGCACAGAATGAAGCAGAGCTCCCTGTCTCACTGTGGTCAAAGTTTTATAAATAATATCATTTTCATAAATACCTAGAGAGAAAGATTCCTGATGTGATTAGGCAGGATGTTTTTTTGTGTATCAGCTATTCTGTGCTTGATGTCTGTATTTATTTTTGGGTAGGCACCAACTCCTGAAGTTAAAGCTACYTGGGTAAATGAAATAAGAAAAGTGCTGACTAGTCAACTGCAGGCATGTAGAGGTAAAATATTTTGAATCTTTTATTTCTATTCCCCTTAGTCTTCCAGACCTACCCTGCATATACTCACTGTGTAGAACTGTAAAAATTGAAATGTAACAGAAATCAGTTTAATGCATCTCTATTACAGAAGCCAGTCAGCACAGGACGCTAGAACAAACCCACAGTTTACCTCTACCAGCAACATCTTGTACAAGGTGAGTAAAAACATTATCAAATCAGCCTAGCTGTCTTGCAAATATATTAATTCATTCACTTAGCAGTTCTTCATTGCTTATGTCCCTTAACGCTRGCTTTTATATTTTAGGGCTTTCAGGTCTCTTTCTACTATAAAGTTGTAGAGCTTAGGATTTACATCTCTCCAGTGTTATGTTCAACAGCAGTTGCATAGGCTTTGCCAGCTGCCAGAGAACACTGCAGATGAGTCATTTTCTGTGCTGAACAAAATTCTGGTGGTTTTATATCATTATTTGTTGAAAAGCTAGTTACCTACTTTAAACACAGGATAATTCATGAGTTATGTGGAGCTACCTTTTCCTTCCCGTTCTCTCTTTTTCTCCTTCTCCTCTCCCCTCCATCACTTGAATTATCCTGCCCTTTTTTTCCTATGTAAATTTTATGTTGTTTTTCTTTGTGTACTTTTCAGTGCATTCTGTCTCTTTGTATTTCTGGTTCTTTCTTTCCAACTTATGATCTTTTTTACTAAAATCTGTCTTCATTCCTTCAGTGCCTGCGTTTAAAATTCAAGTCATCTTTTCTTTCCCCCGCCTCTTATTTCACCCTACAAACCTATATAACTATATTCTTCTCATCCCTACTGTTCCTCTGCCCTTTTCAGAGCCCTCTTTCAGTTCCCTGCTACTCACTTCCTTTTTCATGATATATATGCATATGTATAGGCTCTATCCATGAGCCCACATGTTTGTCTTAGTCCCACACGATATGTATGCACAAATATGTATCAGTAGCTCTCTGCCCTGCTCATCAGTCTGATTTTTCAGATGAATAGTACTTGTGAGATGTCTTTCTGCCTTCTGGAGTGGCCCTCCCTTACTGGAGTGGCTGATCCTCCAGAGGGCTGTGCTGCCATTCAGAGGGATCTGGACAGGCTGGTGAGTTGGACAGAGAGGAACCTCATGAGGTTCAGTAAGGACAAGTGCAGGGGCCTGCACCTGGGGAGGAATAACCTCAGGCACCAGTACAGATTAGGGGGTTGACCTGCTAGAGAGCAGCTCCACAGAGAGGGACCTGGGAGTCCTGGTTGACACCCAGTTAACCATGAGGCAGCAGTGTGCCCTCGTGGCCAAGAAGGCCAATGGGATCCTGGCTGCATCAGGAGGAGTGTTGCCAGCCGGTCAAGGGAGGGGATCCTGCCCCTCTCCTGAGCTCTGGTGAGGCTGCACCTGGAATATTGGGGGCAGTTCTGGGCTCCCCAGTATAAGAGGAATATGGAGCTTCTAGAGAGGGTCCACCGGAGAGCAACCAAGATGGTTAAGGGACTCAAGCCTCGATCATATGAGGAAAGACTAAGCAAGCTGAGCCTGTTTCTGTGGAGAAGACTGGGTGGGGGAGGGGGGGGGCGTGTCTTATCAACATGTACAAATAAGTGAGGGGAGAATGTGAAGAAGATGGGGCCAAACTCTTCTCAGTGGTGGACAAGGGATTGTGGGTACAAACTGAAGAAAGTTCCATCTCCAGGTGAGGAGGAACTTCTTCCCTGTGAGGGTGTCAGAGCCCTGCACAGGCTGCCCAGGGAGGCTGTGGARTCTCCTTCTCTGGAGGTCTCCAGACTCACCTGGATGCYGCCCTGTGCCCCGTGCTCTGGGTGTCCCTGCTGGAGCAGTAAGTTGGACTAGATGATCTCTAGAGGTGCCTTCCAACCTCARCCATTCTGGGATTCCATTCTCAAACTGTGAAGTGTAGTGGGAATCCAATTGCAAGACTAAGGCTGCGCTACTTGTTCATCCCTTGTCTGCTTCATGTGTTAAGGGCATGTGAAAGGTGGCTTTCATTCSTTTGTTTTTCTTGGTGGACTTGGGAGGAAGCTGTCAGCACAGAACATGTGTCTATAGGTGAGGGTGAGGGGACGTTGTCCTRAGCTGTCTTTAGCTGCTCTTATAGCTGTAGTCTCTTCTTGGTACTTGATCATGATCCTTTCATGTGAGATTATCAGTGACTTCTTCAAATCTGGARAGAAGCTATGAACTGAGAAGTAGTTAAGAAATAGTTTTCAGTTTATATCTGCATGCAATAAGCAGCCTCTGACACAGCTCATCACCCTGTTCAGACCCAGATTTGTTAGAGGTGGATTGATTGTCTTAATTTTCTTCCCATGAACAGTCCTTCACGGAACAACATTAGAAATGCAAARAAAATGGAAGAGAGAAAATCTGATCTCATGAGTCCTGAAGGTTTTGGCACCACAGTAGCACCAAAGTACCCTGAGAAAGGCAAAGGTGAGTTTACACGTATGCATTCTTGTCCCTAGATGTGAAGAGCATGGCTGGGCTGCAGGTGCACAGGCAGATTCACCCATAGCTTAGCCGAGTAGATACAACACTGCACCTGGTTCACAGCTCGGTTCTGCTGCTCTGAGACCTGAGGCAGCCTCCCCACAAGTGCTGCATGAGCAGGCTGGGCCCATCAGCACTTAGCTCTGGGGTTGCTGTGTTCCCTGTGTGCTGCGGACCGGCCCAAAGCCACCACTTTGAGGATGAGGGACAGCCCCAGTGAGGTGGGAACTCTGGGGCATGAGGCCTGCACTGGGTYTTCCCTTCGAGCTTCTGAGCTCTTCCCAATTGGCTTCTGAGCTTTTGTCTTCAGAACAGCTAGTGGCAAGAAATTTGTCCAGGAGAGTGTTTTGCTGCTTTAGATCTGATTCTCACTGCTGCAGTTATTTACTAGACTAGTGATAATATAAACACTGAAAATAAAAGGCATTTAGTTCTTCTCTTGTGCCCGGACTTTTGGTTAATATTTCTCTTCCCTAAGTGCTGGTTCCCTGGCAGGGCTGTGAATGATTTGTTGCCTCAACCTTTTCTTGGGCTTCTCCCCTTTCTTTCTGTGTCTTTCTTTTCCTTTGTAGATGACACTAGCTCTACCTCAGAATGCTCTGTACTGTCAAAAAAGCGCTTTACGCTGCAGGGCTTTACTAACCTCAAAAGTCAGAAAGGTAACTTCTTAACRAGTTAGATTTCTCTTGTCTATTTAAAGCTGCAGTTGGTGCATCCCTTCATGTGTATGTGTGTAGTGCCACAGGTTCACCTATACTCTGTGTTGCATTAGCTTGTCGTCCTGTGTCCCAGGCAGGTTCCTGAATCRCAGCCCCTGATAGGAAGCCTGGAGGAGAAACTGGGAGATGCAGTGGGAAAGGGAGATGCGGCCTGGAAAAGAGCAGTTGTTGGAGGCGTGAGGGAAGGAAGGCCTCTGCTCCTGCTGTCGAGGCCTAGGAAGGAGCTCGGAGTGCCCGCTCCCATAGGAAGCCTAGGAGAAGGAAGTTATCTTCACATCAAATGCCTGACCTGCTTCTAGCTTCAGTGGATCTGTCCCAAATGTACCTGTACTTGCCAGAAAGGAATCAAGGCTTTGCTAGAGTATTGTCCTATTTGGCTTCCCTTGTTAATGAACTCCCAAAGCATGACTATGGCAGAAAGTTTATTACAATATTCCTTTCTAGCTACAGAAATAAATAAGAATATCACCATGCTTCCAAAAAAAGGGTCCTTTATGTTGCTGAAATGGGCAGTAGATGTCTGAGATGCTTCTTGCTTCCTCTTGCGAAGTACTGGTACATTGTTTTCTTGCTKTGAATAGCTATCTATCTTCAAACAGTCTGTTTTGCTATAAGGTGTTGATACTACTTAAAAGCATGTATTTTTCTTTCTTTCTTTTTTTTTTTCCCAGCATCTTTTCAAAATGTCTTTTTAAAATCTGATTACCTTTGAGTTGTTTCTGGAAAGGCTGTAGGGTTGCATACCTGAAATAYCTGCATCTTCCAAGTAACTGGTGAGCACTAATGTCTGAATGAGGTGAGCACTAATATGCCATGCTTGCCTTGACAGAAGCTCCATCACCTACTGCTAAAAGCCAGACGTGGCCAAAGCTCCTTCTTACAGGACCAGGTATTGCTGGACTTGGATCAAAAATGGTTGTTTCAATCTGGTGACGTTTGTCTGAAGTTCAGATSCATTATACTCAGCTGATACCTAGTTCATTTAGAGAAGTTTGCATATACTTTTACCTGTTATTATGGAWTAAATTTGTCATTTTTTCTTCAAATAATTTTATGTGACTAATTAACTTMTTTTGCTGACAATTAAAATTAGAGTGATTACAGAAATCCATTGGTTTTCCAGGGTAAACTCAAAGGTATTTAGCCTGCATTCCACCTATTCTCTTTTTTCCAGTTCTTCAATATCTCTCTTCTGTGTTTTTTGCCTATTCATCCTCCTGCAGCTTCTCCTACCAGCCCTGACAAAAAAGCTAAACGACATGAAGTAGTGAGTGACCCAACTCCTCTTGGTCTAAGAGGTAGAGTGTTACCCCTTCTTGTACTCCACACATACCTACACATCCCTCGTGTAATGCAGTAAATTATAAAGCTGAAGATACCTGTATGATGCTGTTGTGTGTAGCAGTATTGATGTCAGCCGCATCTTCCAAATAGGTCTGTGAGCTTTGGTGTGTATTGGTTTTGATCTCTCAGTTTGACAAAGTTTTACCTTGGCATCAGTGGCAGCATGCGGCTAAATGTCATTTTCAAGAGGCTGGTGGGAATTGGATTTTCTGCTGATTGAATACCCAGATACTGGGAATTTTAATGGAGTTTCACTGGCATTCAGTTGCTATGGGCACATAGTTTTCCAGTTTGCCTTCTCCATCCACTGTGTTCCTCGTGGGGAGGATTTAACTTCTTAAAAAGATGAAAAGCACAATTTTTAGATTTTATTCTAATAAGAGTGAGGCTCGTCATTGTAACTTGGCATTTGTATTGCCTTATTCTATTTTTGATGTACATTTTATTACTTTTTTCATAGTTTCCTTTCTTCTTTTTGGGTGATAGCAGGCAGCTTTCACCGACCTGTTAACCAAAGCTTGAATGCAAATCTGGGGCCAGTTAACCAGACAGTAYGGAGGGGAGTTTCTTCCTGGCTGTATTTCCACTGTCATTTCTTTTAGAAAATACCCTGGAAAATCAGCTGATTYTAGTCCTGTCATCCCCTCATACATGTTTTCCCAGCCTTGGTCTTTAGCTGTCTCCTATGTGGAAACCATGCTGGTTTAGCTGTGTGCAGGAGACACTTCATCCAGCCTGGCCCGGCACGCAGAAGCACCCCAGGTGGGGAGAGCAGGAGCACCCTGCCCGCCCCGTGTGCTCCACACAGCACAGTGGGTGCCCTTGAGCAGAGTGGTGGCTCCTCCTTGCGCTGCAGTGAGGATTAGTGGCAGAGCCAAGTCACGCAACCAATTCCCATCCCTGCAAGGAGCAGCCTGTGGGCCCAGATCTSAAGAGAAGCAACTTACACATCCTGGGTTTCCCTGGCACATCAGCTGTCAGCTTATCCATGTGTAACCTTCACTTTCCTCAAGGCTCTGCTGTTTTCTTTTATTTCCCGCTTTTATAGCGAGCTGTAATTTAGTCACATAATGCAAAGTATGCACATATGCATCAGATGGGCATGCATGCATAAATTTGGTGCCCGTGGGAAGCCAGTAGGAATGTGGAGACAGGGGCCACTCTTCTGCCAGGATCAGATGACTTTTATACCAGCTTTTAGGACTAAAGGGCCAGCCTGGAGGAGGCCTAGGAGCACTACTGCTGTGGCAAGGTTGGGCAGGTCTCACCTTATCTCTGTTGACACAATATATGAAGAGCGTCTCAGAAAGAGGGGCTGTTATCCAGCGTGTCCCAGAGGAGCAGGCCACTGAGCATGATGCAGCAGGCACAGCAGTTAGAGCATTTCCAGTCCTCTTTCTTTTGTGCAACTCGCTGGCTCTTGTCTCTAATGAGAGCTTGGAACAGCTACGAGCAACCAAATGATCTTCCGTTGTGGTGTGCTTCCCTTGGAAGTGCTGGAAATGCAGCCGTGTCCCGTGAGCTTCCAGTGACATTTGCATGGAATACAGCAGGAATTTATTACTCGGTTTCTTCACAGATGGAAATTCATGCCTAAGCCTGGACAGGGCCAAGTGGGTCAGTACTTCTAACCTTGTCCAGGTCATCCAGCAGCGCAGGCAAGGTAAAAGCCACTCAGTTTGGTGTGCTCCGAGTGTGATGTCTTAGCCTGCTTTAGCTTTCTGTGATAGCACTGCAGTGCTCTTTTTATGCACTAATGTGACCAGCCGTGGCCATGAACCATCTCAGAAGCAGTGAAAAGCAGAACTGCTGCTTGCTTTCTTGGCCTGACTAATAGCTCTGTATAAGCTGGGGGTTGTTCTTCCTCTGATTCTTTTTGTTGGTTTTATTATAGTTACTTTTGTGCTGAGCCAAACTGGAACTTAACTTAAAAGTATTTATCTCTGCYGTGATGACTTCTTTCATTATAAGCTTGGTATGTTTATTAGTAGCTGCTGACCTCTATAAAAAAAACACCCCCCTACTAAAAATCACTGCAGTTTTATTTGGAGAATGATTTTGAACACTGTGGACATGATTCAGCCTCATAAATGAAATATTTTTTCTCTCTCATGGTGAAATATTCGGCACTTGACAGGCAGGAGATGGTTCTTGTGGTGCTGTGACYTAACCCTGAGAGAATCCATCCTGATTAAGTTGTCAGCCTTGGATACCCCTGAACAATAATCTGGCTCCTCAGTTGAAGCACAGAGTGCCTGGCGCTCCCATTGACTTTATTGACAGCTCTAAGTGTTCAGCACTTTRAATAAGCAAATATTCATGTATCCCTTGTTCCAACAGGCTCATTAGGTTGCTTGGCATGACAGCCACGTGTGTTCATCCTCTTCCCTACTTTTTCCCAAGAAAAAGAGCATTTGTCCAACATCCTTCTATGTATAGGCAGCGGGGGGCAAAGCTGCATTTTTCATTTGGGGATTTGTGTTCCTTCCATCTGGTCTCCTCTGCATAAACARAAAGGGCCAAATTCACCCTGCTGTGCCTGGCACAAGTCCACACACTCTGGAAATGGGCCAGCTTGGGCCAGCTGTGGATTTCACACASAAGCTGCAATAACTCCCTACGTAAGGTTTCCCTCCTGTTAACACGGATCATTTCAGGGCTTTCCAGCAGAGCTTTTCTCCCCGCTCAGTATCAGGCTGTGCAACCACGTTAACTGTTGCCTCTTTCTTCGCCAAGGTTGGGCTAAGACGTCCCATTCTCTGGATGCATCTGAAGAAAATGATGGCTGGTCTAGTGCCGATGACCCGCTGAATTCCTCGGATGCGGAGGAGGAAGGAAGAGAAGGAGGAGGAGAGATGAAACTGGTAACTAGATTTTTTTTTTTTTGATGTTGTTGTTGTTTTCTATGTTTTCTGTGTTTTTATTAGAGCATTAGGAGTGCTTTTGAAGCTGGCAGGAAGGAAAGTGCTTCTTGCCTTGAAATCCTGGAAGCCTTAGAGTTGGGCTTCTTGCCTAAATCCTTAGTTGGGCAAAATATCTATAGCAGGGGCAAATGATCTCTTTTAATTCTGGTATTTCTGAGGTGGGAAGGGACACCTGGGCCTTTGTGTGCCCGCACATTAGTGGGACTGTGGCTGCTCGTGGCACAGTACAGAAGCTGAGCAATGAAGTGCTCAGTTACTGCCTCCGTTGTAGCGCGATGCGTGTGTGCAAGTCTCTCGAGCTCGCCAGCATGTTTTATCTTATGTTAGAGTTCTTTGGGTTTTGTGTTTTTCCTCGAAATAAGAATTGTAATGGAAAGATTTCACAGAAGGTTCCTCAAAGTATGAGAATTCATGTACTGAATTTGTGTGTAATTGAATAGCCTTTTTTTTCTAGTTCTCAGTGTATACATACATTCTTGGTATCTAGTATATATGTAACATAGTGTCTTCAGCTCCTCTGTGGATGAGGGAGCAAGAAGTGTGAAGTACCATAATTTTCATAATTACAAAGGCTGTAATGTACGTTCAAGTACTCAGTAGAAACAACTTATTTGTTTTTCCCTGTGTGCATTTAGGCTCCTGGCAAATACACCGTTGTGACTGATTATGAGAAAGGAGTTTCCGAAGAATTTACAGTGAAAAGTGGGGATCTAGTTCAACTGATTCGAGAAGGGGAGGATGCACTTTGGTATGCAAGTTTGTGTTTGGAAACCTGTATCTGCAGAACTGTGCTTGGAAGGCAGGTGTTGAGGGGCAGGCTTTCAAAGGCATTAAATGAAGCCCTCTGACTACTTTTTTAATTTTTTTAAGGTATGTGAAGAATCTGAGCACTGGTAGAGAAGGTTGGATCCCAGCAAACAATCTGCTGATGCTCATAGGCAATTCAAAATCAGCYCAATCTTTAAGCAGCTCTGGTAGGCTACTCATAATTAATGAGATGAATATATACTGATAGATATATATTTTTTAAAAAAAGTTTTGGAATTAAATAATTACAGTGTATTTTTCTTTCTCTCTCTCTTCTTTCCSTTCTCCTTCCCTTTCCCAGAATCAGGCACTGCATCCAGCACTCTGAGCACATCATCAAGTTGCAGTGACAGCTGCAATGCCAGCAGCACCAGCTCCGTGGACATTAAGGGCTGACATGAAGTTCTCATCCCACCTCCAGGGAAGGTGGAAATCTGGGATTTGTCATCTTGGGCAGAGTTGTGAATGCTGCACTCGGGTGGAGAACTGCTACTTTGTGTGGCTGCCTCTGTATATTTGCATTGGTGACTTTTATAGAGGGTCTCGCAGAAGATTCCAGTGAAAAGTGCATGGAAKGGGAAGCTGTAAATAAAAGTTAAAGATTTGAAATTAGGACTTGAAGAGGCTTCTGCTCTGAAGTCTGAAGCTCCAGAGTTGCTGGCATCCAACATGTTTGCTCATAGATGCACAATCAGGTTGCTACAGAAGTGTGTCATTTCATTACAGCCACAATCTGATTGGGAGCCAACAAAATGTGTTCAGTGCTAATTCCTTATTGTAAATTAATAAATTAGCAATCACTGTACAGGATAGGCATAGGGAAAATCAACCCAAGTTTACAATTTCTTCTCCCCACACCCCTTTCTCCAGGGATGTTCCTTGGTCAGTGCAGTGACTGGGACTCTTGCAGCAAAAAGGAAGGAGGTTTGGCCCAACTGTTTCTCTTGTCTCGAGTCCTCATGAGACTCTTTGCAGTAAAATACTTCCTAGAAGCTGTGGTGCAGAAAGGACCAGTTCACTGACCACAGCAGCATCAAAAGAAAAMGCTGGTTTTCTTTTCAGACCTTTTCTGTGTGCAGTGGGGTAGCCGTTTTCTGAGGTATTTTGTCCTCCCAACCAAATTCTTTACCAATATCACTGTTTACATAACCTTGGCAATTCAGTGGTATCTTTTTGTTCTTAATGCAAGTGCACGGTGAAACAGGAAATGTGTTYACTAAATTTCGTAGTAATCTGCAATTGCATGGCTACCTTCACTTCTATCTTTTAGCATGTAGTTACAGGCAAAGAAAACCCTTGCATTTGCACTATGGGTCAAGAACCTTCATTCATACCAACCTCTACGGGGTAAAAAAGTGACTCTTTTTAGTCAATAGTTTTGTGGCATGCTTAGTCAAAAGCAAATTACATAAATTTTCTATTAAAGAGAAGAACAGGAAAAAAATGTTAATCAGATTTGCGCTATAGAAAAAATTTACTTTTTTTGAAGAAGGATAATGTTAAACTTAGTGTCTTTTCAAGCTGTGTTGTAAGCCAATGATGTAAATTTTGTCAGGTCCTTTGCACTTCATCCTTACCAACAGTACAGGAACTTGTGCTAGTCATGTATGCAATACTGTGGCCATTCCTTGCCATCTCCAATATTTTTACTTACATGAAAGTGTTTTAACCTGTCTCATGTATTATATTATTTAAAATAAGATGGAAGAGCTTCATTTTTCCAAAGCAGCAAGTAGCAGCAAGCTGTCAACAAGAACTTCTGTTAATTATCAGACCCTCTAATGACTGAGCTCCAAAGTCTCTGTTTTTCTTCAGAAATTGAGATTTTTAGAGGCTGCATTTGGGAAAACTTAAAAGAAACCCTCTAGAGAATGATCTTACTCCTGACTTATAAAAGTAATCCTGTCTCAGATGCAAGCAAAATGTAGCTGACTGTGGTCAATACAAACTGAAAACACATGTATGTACACATATATGCCTATATATGTGTGTGTAGATATGTATATGTGTGTAGATATAATGTATCAATGTAAAAGATGTATTTATAGTCTTATGCTGCTGAATGTGTCACTTTACAATTCAAAAATACTTAGGTTTCTTGCAATACTGCAATATAAAGACTGATCAGGGTTTTACTTCAGGCATCCTTCCGACACAGAAATCCTCTGATCTTTTCTTAATTATCCCATGTAATACTTTGCTGGCCAGGAATGTTTAGTCTGATATTTAATAATGAAATGGCAATGTGCAGAGATTCAGCTTGATGTCTTTGTAAGTTATTTTGTAAATTATCTGTAACATAATTTACTTATATATTGCTGTCATTGGTAGGATGAGGCTGTCCTTTTATTTCTTATTACAGCCTCATTTCTGTTATTTCAATGATCTTATGCATATCATTGCACTTTAATACTCATTTCACCATTTCCTTTTCTACTGCTGTTGTGAATTAGAATCTCAAGTCAGAGGTCTCTGTTGTACCTATGAATTTGAATAAATTTCAGCACTTCTTGCTGAATTCCTTCTCTATAGACATGCTCTCTGTTTTATTTTGTCTCGTGATGTTAAAAGCTTCTGGTAAGGATTATGTGAAAACATAAAKAGGTTGATGGATTTGAAGCAGCAAATCAGGGAGCCTAGGAAGTGTCGTGTTTGGCAGAGTCCGTGTGTTTGCCTACTCATTTTGGCCCATCTCAGAAAAAGTCTGTTTTAGCTTGGTGATCCTGGCTCGCTTTGGCGGGGAGGGATTGGAAGTCTGCCCAATTAAAACATGTCTGAAGATATAAAATGTGAGCCGGTGCCAGGTTAATTGGATCAAGTCCCATCCTCTGTTCTTCGAAGGCTGCAAGCCCATGGTCTGCTCTCCAGGGAGCCCTGCAGCCCAGGGGTGCCCTAGGGCACACGCTGCTGCTGCTGCTGCTGCTGCTGCTGCTGCTGGGGCCTGGGCAGGAGTTGGAGGTCCCTGGCTGGTAGAGGGGTGAGAAGTGAGAAATTCTGCCCATACTTGCAGCACCTGAAGAGTGAAGTGCTTGCACATTGGTGGGTTAATGGCTTTAAGGATCATCATGCCATGGGAGGAAGGGAATTTCACAGGGCCCAGTAAAGCTATTTCAGAGGTTTGGTTGCTTTTATTGACCCTTGTTAACCTAGCAGCTCCCTCCCTTGGTCAACTAGGAAGTCCAACCGTCTGGAGCACAACTAGGAAATCCACCCATCCCAACTAGGAAATCCACCCATCCCAACTAGGAAATCCACCCATCCCAACTAGGGAGTCCAACTGTCTCGAGCACAACATTGTCATTGCTACAGCAAAACAATAAAAGAATCCCAGCCCAGACTCACCCTAGTAGAAAGTAAACTGGTTTCTAAATACTTCTAATGATAAGAGGTTTCTTTTTAACTTATTTCCTGTTGTAAACASTAGAGGTTGATCTCATGTTTTTTATATCCGTTCATGTGCTCTGGCTTTGACCCGATTATTTTTCAGGCACATTCGATTCTGCCTCAGTATAGTCAGTGAGCTAAACTGCAGACTTTGGACCTTTGGAAAGGGTCTTTTACCATGGGGACCATTTGGGGCGCAGAAGACCAATGGGAGGTCTTTTAYCTTCATTTGCTAAAGATGACAGGGATTTCCATTCTACTTCTATGCTTTATATAGAAGGGTTAGTCTGGACACAATTCCGGATACTTGTAATAACTCTAATGCAGTTCATGGAAGTCTTCAAATGACTGGTCTCCTAAGAGTTAGCTTTGCRTGGGTGCCTGCCACACCTGCGTGGCACAGGGAGCTATCCCACCTGCAAGCCTTCATTTGAGCTGCTGCTTCTCTACAGGTTCCCCAGCTGAAGACACTGCTCTGGGCTGAGTTTGCCACGGGAGCTGACTTGTTTCTAAGAGCACATTACCTAATAACACATGGAGAGAGATGAACAGTATCACCTTCCAAGTCAGCTGCTCCTGTGCTTGCTGGCTCTTGCTTATTTAGGCAGAGATCCCCTGCAGCACCGAAGARCTGCCGTGGGCTCCGTCGCACCCTGAGCACAGGGCTGTGAGGCGTGCAGGGCATGAAAGGTGCTTTAATGACAAAAATACTGAGTATCAGTGAGTGCAGTAACTGCCGTGAGCTGAGCTGCGTAGCCCTGCCCTGCTTCTCCACTAGCACTAGCCCTTGGCAGCCTTACACAAACTTGCCAAGGAAGCAGCTCTGTCATCTCCCCTTTCCCTGGCAGGTTTCCCCTGGAGCAGCTCCSAGGGCGGGCAGGAACCAAGGCCAGAACCCGGCCCTGGAGCCAGAAGGTCTATTTATTGCCAGCAGTGTTTGTGCAAAGGGCCATCCTCAAAAAGCAGCAGGGAGAGGGGAGCACAGGGTGGTGATACCCAGCAAGGCAGGGGGCTCTTCGGGCACCAGAGAGATGCTGGGGCAGCTGCTTCATCCTCCGGGCCCTCCTCAGGCTGTTCGTGCCCTGCTGCACCTGGGTAGGTCAAAATACTGAGTCATACACACAAAAAAGTAGCCCAAAATATTGATGGGCTCCAATCATTTTGCTAGTTCCAGGGGATAGTCATAGTGACATGTCCCCAGGCAAAGCTGCCGTCTTCTTTCTAATATCTTGGGGCAATGTGATGTGTAGACAAAGCCTGAACGAAAAAGCAGCATGGTGTATACAAAAAGCAGGCTGCAAGACAAACTGGCAGCATTTCCTTACCCCGTGCAGCAGAAAGACCAAGCCCCTCAAGGGCTTCTCATCAAGAGTCCAAGTCATGACCAGAGCCCCAGGGCGGTCAGGGAAAGCCAAAGCAGGAGGAGCATCCCCAGCTCCTCTGGGCTCGGAGCTCTTTGGACACAGGCTGTGATGCCCAGTGGAAATTCAGATCCTACAGCAACCAGAGCCCTATAGAGAAGAAAAGCCGAGTATGACTGTGCCTGCTAGGCTGCCTTGCAGCTCATTGAGAGCACTGCTGCCAGTTCCTGCAGCAGCCTACAGAGGGGGGTAGAAAATCAAGGCAAGACTAACACTGCACGAATATAATTTAGGAGCTTAAGTTCTGGCACCGCTGAATTCCCAGGGACTCTCCTCACAGGTGTGATTATCTTGGGTATTCTTCATGAAATCTAAGCACACGATTTCTTCTTGGAATACAGAATTACCATGTGAACTGCTCRATGGCTTTTGTTCTGAGCACTTAGGCTGGGCTGTAAGCTCTAAAATAGATAGAAGTTTCCTGTATCCGCAAGCAGCAAAAGCTGAATCCTTCAGGTTTAAGCAGTGCCAGCAGAGAGGGAAAATATTGCACCAGCCATAAAGGATGCAGAGAACCTGTGAACTTTGCAGAAGACACGGAAACGCCACAATGCCACCGTGTAGCRGAGTGTTGGTGCTGTTGTGCAGTAGACACCACATTGGGCTCCCTGGCAATGCCCTGGGAGATACCCACCTAGAAAGACCTAGGGCAGTCTGGTTAAGGATTTAGCCACTGATCTGAAAGTGGTATTGACAAAGTGTTCCCGGTGACCCGCACTGATAACATTTTCTGTATGCGCATCATTTCTTGCACAGCTAATTAACAGAGCAGCCTAAGAAAATTGCTGGAAGGAGAGGCACTAGGTGTAAACTCAGGCTGTCCCAAGTGCGACACAAGTGTCCCCTTGTGCCCTGATTTGATGGTAGACAGGAACACACGCAAATAGGCAGGAGGGAAAGCTTTCCCCAAAAAGATCAGACAAAAAAAGAAATCCTCTAGCACCTCCAACAAACATAGCTAAGATATTTGTAACATGATTATGTCCTTACAGTTTCAAATTAGCTGTTGCAGTTAAGGGAATATATCTTCAGTTTTTCAAGTGAATGCATCTTCAGTTTTTCCTTCTGTTCCAGTTCAGGCACAACTCCATTGTCATTTCTCCTCCCGTTCCTCGCTTTTGCCTGCACACAAAGCTCTTCCCTGCCTGCTTCCCTGCAAAGTCCTTCAGCCTTGTTTCCTTCCTTCAGTGTTTTTGTCTCTTGTGACCACACAGGGCCTGAAGCTGGATGCAGAGAGGAACAAGGACCAGGTACGAAGGCTATGAGGTACCGAGGCAATTCCCAAAACAGAGGTGGAAACAGCTAGGCGCTGCCCTAGCTCCTTTCGTATTCCCATAACTGTCTTCCTTCCTCTGCCCTGGGACGTGAGCTGCTGGCAGTGCCCCAAATCCCAGGAACTTTGCTGCTAGGAGCGAGCCAGGCTGTGATCCAGAGAAGCAGCCGAGTGCCCCCTTTGGGAAACAGATTCCGAAGGCGGATATGCAGCTGTGCCCACTGCCACTAAACAACAGGAAYGCCTGCAAACACCATCCGTGATCCTGGCTTTCCTAATCAACCACAGCTTCTACAGGAAGTTTAGCTGAGCATTGGCCACAAAGTAAAACAGCAGCTGTGGCTTTTCTTTGCTCACGTGCAGAAATGACCCTCTTTCCTTTAAACTTACAAAGGGGAAAAACGCCTGGAAAATGCTCCAGCCCCTTGGGAATGCCTCTCTTCTCAAAGGCAAACAYGCTCTTTACCTCTCTGATATCTTAAGTAAATATTTACTTGAGTGTGTTTTCATCTCTCTAGTCTGGTAACTTAACTGATGGTAAATTAACTGWTTTCTACTAAATCAGAGCACAGCTTAGTTTCCAGATGAAACACTGTCTGCAGATTGGCCCTTCAGACCCTAYCCCAATTAATGAAATACAGTGTGGATTGGCTTAGCATCCCTTCTAGCTGGTAGAACTCCTGCATAGGTCCTACAGGAGAAGCAGAGCGAAGCAGTGCAGGGGATTTCTTGCTAGTTAATTAGTGTCTCCTGGAAAATTCAGGCAGTAGTTCAGAGTTTCAGCTGGTGACTGAGAAATGGAAACGACCAATATCAGCAATCACTCTCCAAAGCAAGGCTCTACCTTGGGTGCTGAGTCAAGCTAAATCTTTGTGCCTTCATTTCTCTGCT